GATTCAAGTGTAGTACCCGATGGGTCATAATAAGGTCAATTCTTACTCGGCGATAGGATAGTGTGTAGAGTCCGAGCCTTTCACAACGTTTTTCATACGGAAGCTTTCGTAGGGTCGGTATCATTCTAGTTGCGATATGCTGTATTTTCTCCAGCTTTTCAGTTTCCCATTGGGTTATCGGATGGTAAGCTGGGGCACCGTATTCAAGGATTGGTCTAATGAGCGAGGTGAATAGACGAGGGACGGTTTCTTCGGACCATGTGGAGAAACTGCGTCTTAATGCCCAGAGCATACGAAGTCCCGCACGGTACAATTTCTCTGTATTTTCTAGTGATCTCAAATCATGTCGTGAGAGAACTCCTAAGTCTCTGACAGATGTGTTAGGGCGGAACAACTGGCCGTCCAAGGTGTACGATCGAGTGGCTGGACGTCTGGTGATACTGATGAACTCCGACTTGCTTGCGTTAAGAGGGAGTTGCGTTTCAGTGGACCACGTTGACAGTCGCTCTAAGTCATGCTGGAGGCGAGCGCAGTCGTCCTGGTTCTCAATGATCTTCCAGATTTTCAAATCATCTGCAAACAGGACACATGGTGACTGGAGCTGCTGCGGAAGATCGTTGATATGAATAAGAAATAATACTGGCCCAAGTACAGTTCCTTGAGGCACGCCACTGGTCGATTGGAACAAGTCTGTCAGATAGTCATTGACCTGTACTCTAAACCTTCGTCCCACAATAAACTCGTGCAACCACTGAAGTAACGTGCTACCGATTCCCCGTATGTCCTCAGTTTACGAAGGAGTACCTCGTGGTTCACTCTGTCAAACGTCTTACTAAAGTCGATGTAGACCACGTCAACATCCTTCTGTTCATTGAGAGATCGAACCCACTGGTGGTTTGCGTACATCAAGTTGGTGATGCAGGATCACCCTTTCGTAAGTCCGTGTTGCGCTGGCGTCAATACGTCCATCGATTCGAAGAACGACAGCAGACACCTTTTCACAACCTTCTCGAGAACTTGGGATAATACCGAAGTCAATCAGATCGGTCTATAGTTCTCTATTTTACTCGGGAAGCGGTCTCACTATCGGGCATTTCCAGTCGTTCGGGACGGATCCTTCAGAGAGCGATTTATTGAAAAGATTTGTCACAGCTGGTGAGATGATAATCGATAGGGACTTGAGTATAGGTGGGTGGAGTCCGCCTAATACGGGGGGCTTTGCATCATCGAGGATGACGAGTAGCTGATGTACTTCGACTGCATCACATTGTACGCTGTCGAGCACGACTTGCGCAACTTGTGCCGGTACTGAAACCGCCGCCGGTTTACTGGAATCTACGATGAGGAAGTGCGTAGCCAAGGCGTCCGCGCGCTCCGCGCTTGAAATGAGTGTCTTCCCGTGTAAGCTTTCTAAGACCGGTAAGTTGTCCCCAGGTTTCAGTTGACGTTTCAAGTAGTCAAATATTCTTTTGGTTGCAGTTGTGGCCGAGGATGCTAGCTCCTCTTCGAACTCTCGGCGTTTCTTGATCTTTGCGGCGTTACAAAAGTTACGCTGTTTCTTGTATACCGTGTAATCTTCATCACAACCAGAGCTGATGTATCTATCCCAAAGTTTGCGACGTCGTCGCGCTAACTGTCTATATTCCTTATCAAACCAATGCGGTTTGACAGGTCCAAATTTTGAATACTTAAGGGGAACGAACCGAGTACAATGCGAGTTAAGCTTCCCCTTTATTAATGACAACCAGGCCTCAAGTAACGCATTCTGTGGTAGTGTCCAATCAGTCTGACTTGCGGCTTGGACGAGTCCGTTGAAGATCCGTCTTCCAATAGTTGAATGTCGGCTTCTGTTGATTGTAATATGGTAACGACAGTTCTAAGCTTGCTACAATAGAGCAGTGGTCACTGTTCGCCAGAGGTTCGATGACTCTGATCTCTTTTAGCTTCTGCTCGCAGCTCGTAAACATTAAGTTCCAGACAAGATGCCGAATGCGGTGTTACGCGCGTCGGTCGGATGACATGTTGCGTTGCCCCCGCTTTCAATAGTCATTTTAGCGAATTGAGCCTCAAGGTTGCCATGACCGGAAAGAAGTGGAACATCTGGCCAAAATATCTTAGGTAAATTTAGATCTCCCATCAGTAAGAACTGAGGGCGGCACATGTGCTTCTGTACGTGTGGTATCCAATGTCTTTTGTGAAGGCATGTGTTAGGCCTACATTTCAAGTCACATTTTTGATGACCGGCCGACGGAACCGGTCTAACCAGGTTGGTAAGAGTAGTTCTCAAGGGATCTGGTGAGATCCATTCATTAAATTCAGATGTATCGAGAAAGTGGACGAAAGCTTACATCCTGTTAATGTGCAGTTAAGCTGCCCTACCAATCCTTTTAGCAGCGGGAATATTAAACTGATGGCCGTCTATAAGAATAGTGTAGCATGCCGATTGATGCTTTGCCTAAGGAATCATCCAATTGACTTAGGGGCTTCGCCCTTTCTTTCAGATAATGCTGCACACCAACAATATCTTCGGAGCTATTTGTGCATTCGGTGGGACGAAACGAACTAAAAAGTAAGTTTTCAGAAAGGTGTTTCTCTCTCTAGTTCAGCATAAGCAGGTGGTGAAAATCTTATGGCGGCGACATAAAGAAATTGTATCCCCCAAAATAATCTTATATTAGACCTTTTTCCTAATTGTGCCCCACTTGGTTTTATATGAAGTACCTTCATTAAAGTGAGTGTGAACACGCTTAGTGCACAGTCACAGTGAAATGTACGTATATCATCTCTCCGCTTTGACAAATCCAGCTAGTCAAATTTCCTAACCCCTTATTGCCCTTTCTCCCAATCCTTTGAGTATTGTCCGTAGACAAAGGATCCACTGACACTCAAGTGGAAAATCCAACCAGAGGCTGTCTGTTGCTTCGTGGTCAAATGAAGTTTATGTCAGAATGGGACGCAATTGCATTTTTGGGAACTCCAACGTAAGTCAACTCTAGGGAGTGTGTGTAAAACTATTGCCCAGTACTGGGGATGTATTCACTGCGCCTTACAGCCAAAACAGCACATACAAGCGTTTACCATGGCTAGTTGACTAGCGTTCCCTGCCCAGAAGCATTTTGTCTTACAAAATGACCGGTCTACTTACATGTAAGATTGACATGCTGGTTCGTGGCTTTACCTGCGAGTAGTCTGCCTGCAACGCCAAACGGCGTAGCAAAAAGGCAACGGTTACAAGTAGGATGTGTAGCTGCACTCAAGTGGTCAATTACTGTCTTTACCCGTCGATCACATTGGGATGTAACACTACCAAGGGGAAGAGAGAGAGCGTATTCCAACCATTCAACAAACAGTGAGTATACCACATCGGATTAAACTGGCTACAACATACGCAAAGCAAAATAGACTTCAAGCGGTCAGCATGCTTACTCATTACAGAACACACCAGTACCGTGACCTTAGAACCCCTGAAAGAAGGCACATACTGAGGTCAGCTTAGAAGACATAACCGTCGAAGTGACCACCGAGCCGTGTCTTAACAACTTGAATCGCGACCGCGCCGGTGCCCTGAACGCTAACCTTTCTAATGCCTCACGGCAGCTGGACAAGTTTTCAACGGGTATCCGAGGCCTTGGTTATCTCAGTTAGCCAAGTTTCAAGTTCGAGTTGTTTCATCCAAGGAAATGCTGTTCTTTGAGATAACGGAGGAGGAGGTTAGGCGTGAGCTTAAATGTACTCTCTAGCATGTTGAAGCACACTTATGCAAACCCCATACAAATTTGTCACAAATGAACGCAGGTAGCTGATTCAGTGGCTGAGATGTATTGTAATATAGATGGTGCAAGCGTCTGCGTCAGTAGTGGCCGACTCCTGAAACCATCCATGTGGTAAGACCGAGTTGGTAGCTACCGTGGGTCCAAAAAGTACAGGGCTGACGCCAACGTATTTATTCAAGTCCGGGAATAGAAACAGTTTCCTCAGCGTGTCACCTGCAGAATGCCCATAAGTCTCTCTAAATGGACTTCGACACTTCGTAGGTAACACTCAAGGTTCAGATATTTATTTGTGGTTTCATTTTGAAATTTGAGAGCTGTAAGTCGAAAACAAGGCTGTTGAGTTTAAGCGATCTATACTACTGGCTGGGTGCCAGTATGATCTGGTAGACTAATTATTTAAGTGGTTTCCTATGCTCCACTTTAAAGCAAACTAAACACAGAAGAGAAACGGTAGAATCGTGACAGTTACCGCTGAAGAAGACACTCTCCGTTGTTCTCGCTTAGGAGTTACGCTGATGATAAAGTCATTTCATTTTAAGCCGAGCGCAAGACATTAAGCTTGTAATCCAGAAAGTTGTATTGAATCATGTTTATGTATAATTCAAGAGATTCAATAATATCGATGATGGTCCCTACACCAGATAATCTGTTTAAATTCCTCTCTTTCAGCATGGAAAATGTGGATGCGATGTGGGACATTGGGCTATTTCTGAATGACTTAAGCATGCATGACTCCAGTCGGGACATGGTGCTTGCCGGAGAACAACAGGCTGCCGAACTTAAGTTGGCACTAGAACAGGTATGTCTCGAATCACATGAGTAATCTTCCTTCCTGTGGTAAGTTGGCGAAACGGAAACTTTTATCTTCAGCTAGGTAACACAGATACAAGAAGGATTATCATTTTAGGTTTGAAGAGGGAGTGCACTAAAATTTCATAACCGTAACACAACACTCGGTGTAAATTCAGAGTGGTATAGCCATCGGCGCCCTGAATATATATGGTGCCGAACTGAAATTCTGTTGCAAAGGCTGAGTGCATGGCGGAACAGCTCCGGCGACTCACTCTTAAGCTAAGAATGCTTATTATGTGCGGGAAACAGAAAATATAGGATGGTTCAAACCAAGTACCAAGAACATATTGAATTCTGACTACGTATAGGACAGCGGAAAATCAAAAATAGGAGGTGGCAACAAAGTTAAAGGAGGCATGTGACTTCAATCTGCCCAACATCTAACGATAGGGCTTACAAAGGGTAATGAAAAGAACGCAGACGCCGCAAAGTTAACAGGCCGCACCTTGGTCCATTTTATTGTTGCACCTGCTGGTTCATTCATTCGAAATCCGCCAACAGGCAACATCTGGTGTGCGAAGGCACTAATGATACTTCGAGATAGTTTCCCAGTGTGATGAGGCATAGTTTGGCGGCGCTTAGAGCAGCGTTTTTGAAACATTTGGTATTTGGTCTCAATAAACTTATTGGCCCCTTCTGTGGAACAATGATAGCACCTGACCCAATGTCAAACTTGACACCGCGAAATGTAAGTGCATCGTGAGCTAGTTTCGAGTATCATTTCTACTGTGTCGCTGCCGACAGTTTGTACCCCAAGACTGCAATGAGATACGGAAGAGGAACCAGAACAGAATTCCATACACGAGAAATATGCTTCATTTAACTGGGGTACAATAGAAGTTGAGGTAAGGATACTAGAACATGTTGATTTCACACGTCAACATAGGAGATGCTGAACGACGCAGACGAATGGGAGACGATACCAGTCACATGGAATCACTCGGGCCAGCGAAAACGATGGTAGCGGAAACGGAGGCCAGAGATGAGATTCATAAAGAACGACGTATGATAGTCAAGCACAGTTTGGAAATGATGCTTTTAAACAAATGCCAAGGAATAAAGGGTTGCAAACAAAAACCGGTAACTAATAAAGGTATATATATATATAATATATCTCAGGCAACAGCCAATTACTTAAAACGACAAGATCAAATAAAAGAACTCGAATAATGCATGCAGATATGCCTGACATATATAGATATGATTTGGCCGCTTCCGTATCCGGATGTGCTTGTCACTGTGGCCTCCATGGGTCAGCCACAGGACGTCTACGCCCACAGACGGACCATGGGTTATTTACGCTGTACTATCCACAGTTCCACACACACACACACACATGCACATCAATATCCAGTGTAAACCCGAAAGCATAAGACCGGGAGACATGTGGATGGGAGCCACATTTCATCATCGGAGCCGGCGCACACTCCTTCAAAAAGCAGAACAGAAGCATTCCGGCCTAATTGGGAAATCATGCACATCAGACGTACACATGGCGGTGACTGAAACGTAGCTCGTTCCACACAGGATAGAACTACTCCTTGAACCTACCACCATCCCGAGGAAGGTGCACCCCATCCTCTCTAGCAACGACTAACTGTCTCCTAGAGCCAGTATGAACGACGTTGTGGGTAATAGACAGGTAGGCATATTGTCAACATGAACATCAAGCGCAGCCACATCGGGGATATCAAGCAAGATCCAATCACTTGAACCGACAACATCAAATAAAAGAAATCGAATAATACATACAGATTTGCGGACATAACTCTTCACTAAATGAGCATATGAAATAACTTAGTTGCCACCAACTCGTGGCAAGTGCAAGACGTCAGAAAATGGATTTTAAGAAAATGCCACAAACGAGAAAATGTTATCGAAATTAACTAAAGTAATTTAGGGGACGTGTGAAATTTTATATAAGATAGTTCAGGTGAACATTAACATGAGATTAAAATCAATAGGATAATATAGTAAACCTACCATCTGAAATAAAGAGACTCAGCAAGCAAGCACGCGGTTAGTAAACAGAATACAGCGTCTCTAAAAACGCTGCTCCGGTTCTGTCTACCTTCTCTGCAGCACACATCGTTTTTTCGTTATTGGCACAAAATGGCCTCGCTCATGCCTCACTACGCCTGCCTGACACACGATCACGCTCGCGAGCGCATGTGCTACAGCACTATGCTTTCGATGTCGATGGAGTACAACCCATCGGCGTCTGTCGCTTCCGCAATTGCCGCTTCTCCTTTGCATACATGAGGGCTTTCCCCTGCTCCTCGGCAACTGTCTTTCTGATCAGATCGCGCCACGCATGCTGATAAGCCACCTACGATTCCTACGACCTGCAGTCAAGACTAGATTCTGATGGGCTCACTTTGATCATGCCCTGGTACCGAAGCTTCGGTTTCCCCACATGCCGCTTCCTCGCACTCAGCGGACCATATAACAGCTGCCTCGGTATCCGCGTCGAATCTATAGGCCACACATGACCGAACCACCTAAGGAGTCTCAGAAGAACCATGCAGCCCACTGCATACATTCCACTTCGACGCAGCACTTCACTGCCCGCAACTCTGACACACCAAGCAATCGCAGAATCCGTCGTAGACACTGATGATGGAACCTATCCAGATATTGCACATTCCGCTGTTACCTCGTCCACGTTTCGCTGCCGTATAGAAGAACGGACAGCACCATGGATTTGTACACCATCAGCTTCGGGCCAACGGTAAGCTGATGGTTGTTCCACACTCGGTACTCTAGCTTTCCGAATGCCGCCGCTGCCTTCGATACGCGAATACGAAGCTCACTGTGTAGCTGCTGGTCAGTCAACATCACACTCCCAAGGTAGCAGAAACGGGTGGTTTCTAATACTTCAGCACCAATGCTGATTTGCCGCAATATTGAAGATTGCACCTCCGGTGAAGGCTGAAAGAGAGAGACAGTTTTTTGCTTGCGTTGATGGTGAGCCCGAAATTGGCCACTGTCGAAGCCACAGCACTAGTCATGTGCTGCAACTCATCCGCGCTGTGTGCAAACAACGTACAGTCGTCAGCAAACAGAAACATACGGATAGTTGTCTCACAGACTAGAGTTCTCGCACCGAAACGACGGATGTTCAGCAACCCACCATCAATACGGTGCTCCACACGAACACCGTAAGCACAAGCCGCATCGAAATCACAAGACATCATGGAGTGAAGATAAATATTAAACAGGGCAGGAGCTAAGACACAGCCTTGCTTCACATCAGTGACAACTGCAAAGTCATCGAAGGTCTCTCCACTCAGCTGCACATTCACTGGCATATCACTGTGCATAACTTCAATTAAACTTACAGACTTACTCGGACAACCAAACTTACCCAACACCAGCCACAATGCCACGCGGTTCATCGTATCAAAAGCCTTGGTGAATTCAACAAAAATCCAGTACAATGGATGGTATGGTTCTCTGCACTTCTCCTGCAACTGCCGAGCCGCAAACAGCCTATCAATGGTGCTGCGACCCGAACGGAAACCACACTGTTCTTCCACCACGTTCGGTTCCACACCCTGAGTGACGGGACGCTTGAGTAGGATTTGGGAAGTCACCTTGCCCACAAACCTCAGCAAGTTGATACCACGAAAATTCGTTTAACACTGCTTGCTTCCTTTGCCTTTGTACAGGGGTAGCCACCAGGGCATCCTTCAATTCAGGAGGCACCTTCTCCTCAATCCACACACGTTGCACCAAGTGGTGCAGCGCAGTCACCAACGCTGGTCCGCTGTGTTTCACTACTTCAGGCGTGATCCCGTCATTACTAGCACACTTGCCGTTTCGCAGCTGAGCAAGTGTTCTCTGATTCTCATCCAGTGTCAGCGTGTCCACCAGACTCATCTTCATATCGTGCTCACTGAGGCCGTATAATTAGGCTAGTCAATCTCTGAACGTTCTTCAAGAGACAATCAAAGTGTTTTGTCAGATCTGTACTATGTCTGCAGTCTATGTGCAGGTAGCACCTGAGCTACCAACAATCTGCCTCCTTAGCGGCACCAACCTCTGTCCATACACTGTCTTCAAGGAGTCAAAGAATTCTTTGTGTTGGCGACATTCGGCGTAGCATTCCATCTGACTCGCCTTCTCCGTCCAACATGTATCTTTAATCCAACGGAGCTCTCTGGGCAGTCGTCGTCGAAGTTGACTAAACTGACTCTCCTTCCCCAAGTAACTTGGGTCTGCCACGTGTGCAGCAAATGCTGCATTCTTCTCCGACACAAATGCGCCAATCGTCAGATTATTCGCATCAAAGTAATCAGGCCGCTTGCAGTTTGCGTGCCCGATGGTCTCCTCGGCAGCAGCTGTCACCTGGTCACGAATATGGTGTCACAGGTCGTCCACTGTGGCAATACATTTTACATCACACAGGCGCGTAGACATCGCCTTCTCCAGCTCAATACATGTCGCTACATTGTCGAGAGAGGGAATGTTAAATTTCCGCCGATTCACGGCAGGAATGCAATACATAGATTTACGAACATATATGTACAGTTTGGTCCGCACCATCTTGTGATCAGTGCCACACTCAACCCCACGCAGTACACGCGTCGTGCCCACTTCACACATGTTACGCTGACGTACGATGACATGGTCGAGCAGGCGAGCGTGACCACTTCGTGGATGCGTCCAAGTTGCTATATCACTCGCACTCAGTGCAATCCGAGTGTTCGTGATCGTCAGGCCGTCAGTGGCACGCAGTGAGAGCAGACTGTCACCGTTCGCATTCACTGAACCAATGCCATGCGCACCGATAACATCTGTCCACGCTGATGCATCATGCCTAATGCGCGCGTTGAAATCACCCAGCAGAAATAGTCGGTCGCTCCTTGACACAGACCGTATCACGGAGGATAGCTGAGTGTAGAGCTGATCACGCGTGTCATCAGGATAACGCGTGGTGTGACCTACGTCCTTGTATATATATATATATATATATATATATATATATATATATATATATATATATATATATATATATATATATATATATATATATATATAATGTCCAGGAGGTGTGCACCTACTGGCTCCTAACTAGGCCGGTATAATTGGTTATAGTTATGCTCCGTCTACTCTTTCGATACCGAGTTCATTACCTTTTGAAATGGACCAAACGTATTCATTAGCTAGCTAATACGTTTTCTCACGCCAAAATTTGACAGGAAAGTGTGAAAAGCAAACGACTGGAGGAAAGTCTTCAACGCCTAGATGAAGAAATGAGACGAACGGATGAACTTTTGTACCAGATGATACCCAAGGCAGTTGCGCAACGTTTGCGTAAGGGTGAAGCTGCCATTGACACCTGTGAGGTAAGTGATAATTGAGCATTAGTGACTGTAACAACGCACGTACTATGTGGTGAGTAATCTCTCTGAACTCGTGTGCTTTGTTCAAATTTCACAGTCTTATTAGTACAGCAAAGGGCTCATCGGATTGGCGAAGTAAATCAACGGAAAATCGCAACAACCAGTTAACGAAGTCTGTGAAGTCAATTCATCTAGAAATACTTCTTCGGGAATTTGATGGCGTTACACCTCGTTTCAGCTATGCTGATCACAGCTTCTTATGAAAACGGAAATAAGGGAATAGAGGACAACGGAATGAAGAAGTAAAAGATGAGTACCACTTAACTACACGAGGGTTCAGCTCCAAATTAGCAAGCTTACAACCATTGATTCGGGAGATTACAGTACGGCCGTGGAATGTTACTAATATAGCTGCTCTCACAGATAGTCAGCAGTGAGGCTCACTTCGTAATGGTGCTAGCTTTAACCAGCCTGAAAGGTTGCTTGGTGATAACAAAGGCTTAACGATACATGTTTAGCTAATGTGGAATGTGAACTCGTGATGCTCAGTGATGGAGCATACATGCTTGAACCTTGAAGTAACTCAAATTTCTGACCACTCAGTAACAGGATGAATGCCTAGATTCAATATTTGCCCCTTCAAAACCATCGTTACTGAAGGCCTGGCAGCACATATTACTAGTAAACGAGCTTCAGTTATGAGGCAGGTTAGGAGTGCAAAAACAATTCTAGCAACATGTAACAAAATCCTCACTTTTCAAATATCTGCACACTTTCCCAGTTAACGGGGTTCCAACACATGTACTCTGGCAGAACAGAGTACAACACATGGTACGTCTGTATCAATGTGAGAGGAAGCGGTTTGGTTACATTTTGCTGTAGCGAAATAGTTCGCATTCGGGAAACGTTTTGCATGCGCGCAAATCGTGCGGTCAATAAGTTCAGAAATCTTACATTTGCACTTTAAATGCACTCCAAATATTAGAGTGCACGTGGATTTGAAGTCTCGAGGCGTGAGACTCAAGATTCTGGATGCTGAACTTTGGGTTAAATATACTCTCTTGTTCCGAATATCTTGCTCCTCCTAGCTTTGGAGAATTTGGCGATATAGTCAAATGCATTAACACATACGATGCTGCAGGTAGGTCTACTCCAAATAAGTAGTGATAAATTCCTAGCAGATGACTGTTTTTTCACAACCATAGACGTTTGCACTGCTTGATACTATATCGGGATAAATGTTTCGGAATAAAGGATTTGTATAAGTGACCATCAAGCAACTGTACAATGTCCGGTTGTCACCATAGTTTGTGCTTTTGCACTCCCACAAATGAAAGCCAAAACATCAAAATGCACTCCCATAGATCTGTTGGTGAGAGCGTGAATGGTCCCATTCCCTTGCAGAACATGTTTCAGCTAATTCATCGTTGGCACTGGCAAACAGCGGGCTTAGGCTAGTCTGGAAAATTACCAGACGCCGGCATGTCAACCTTCTGGGTCTCGTCAGGGGTGCGCCTCCCAGCTGGACCCCTGGATGTCAGCAGCACCCATGGGTGACCCATGGCGAAGTGGTACTAGCAGCTAGCATCCAGAAGTCATGGGGGTGGAACCAAGCAGAGGTCTGCTGGGAGGCGCACTACTGACGAGACCCAGCAGGTCGAAACACTGGGGTCTGGTGTTTTCCAGACTAGTCAAGCCTACAATTTGCTTGTAGCAAAGATGAATTAGCTGAATTAGCCCAAAATCCCCACTACTCATCAGTAATAGATAGAAAACTGTTCATTTGCAAAGTGCCTGAGCAGTGACTCAGCTCAGATTAACACTTCTTGGTAGGTACTTGCATGTAAACCCTTGGTTTTTAAATTACTTTTTCTTTTTAGGCTTTCGATAACATCACACTGCTATTAAGCGATGTGGTGGGCTTCACGGCCATCTGCAGCGGCCTCTCACCTCTGGAAGTTGTCAGTCTACTAAACTCCCTCTACTCATGCTTCGACGCGCTTACAGAGAAGCACAAGGTGTATAAGGTAATTCGCTTTTTCCGATGAGTCCGGATCTCTCATACCTTTATCTAAACCCGTGTTCACACTGTTACCTCTTAGCTCTGCGTTAATTGTACTGTAATATTGTCGCGTAACTACTATGGTGCCGAAGCCTGTCCTTTAATATTGTAAACTTCGGGTAGCTCCACCGAAATAAGCTCGATGATGAGGGTACTGGGGCGTGCGCTCAACCGCTACCCACGCAACCAGCTAGTGGCAGATAGAGTTGCTCTACTTAGGTGGGTGAATCACAGTGACGGGAGTAGTCACAATGGCGTAGTCCACAAATCAGGCGAGCGAAGCACTGTAATGTGGTATGCTAAGAGGAGAGTTAAACGTTGCTCCGGATGAAATGGAAACCAAAAGCACCTGTTCAAACGACTAGCTTGGGACCTTAAACACAGCTAAAGGATTTCTACCTACTAGAACTGCTAAAGATTTTTCAGTTCGGATGAAACATACCTCCAGCGGTGAACACGGAGTGCTGTGCGTAGATTAACATTCGTCAACTTGTACCAGTACTATGCATTCCCCACAAATGAATTCTACTACAAAGCTGAGTTTGCTCCGAAACTGGTCGCACCGTGTAATACAGGGTGGGGACTTCTGTATTTTACTGAAGACGACATCAGCAAAAGTTCTGCTGCGCCCAGGAAGCCTAGCGAGGGCTATGAATTTTGGAGCATTTCATTTAGGTTCGGTCTGCGTAAATTCCACCAAACTCTGCATAGCATTCGTAGTTAGAGACCTGTCCGAGAATTCAGTTTACAGTCGAATGGAATAACTGTGATCCAAGCACCGCAGTGCGGTGGATCCATTCGTCACGACTCACACCGTTAGAATAACAATAAATAACAATGGCAGGACAGTGCATTTGGGTGCGAGTAGAATGTGGAGAAAGTAGAAGTAAGAAGGAAATGTGTTAGACTATTCAAAATAAAACGAAATTTAACAGCCCGATGAATGAATCTTAATGCAAGAACGCCACTGACTTCGTGACTGCGCTATCTTTGACGCGGGTTCCGACCATTGGTGTGGTGCGTCCCGAGGCACCCATCCACGAAGATTGCACGCACCAACCTAACCAAGCATCTCAGACAGTTTCTTCATGCCTTTATGCCACGTCATGGACTGGCCACCTCGTGGTCTCACCCAACTTGGTGCGGCTACGGCGTATAATGCACACTGAAGAAGCCGATCAACTGACCTACGGAGAACATGGTCTAGCCAACACAAGCGACTTTGATTCAGCAAACACTCGAGAGAGGCACCAGAAGGCTCCCTGCCAACAAACCAACTGGTGGACCTTAACATTGCTCATCTGATGTTCCAACTTAACGTGAGCAATACTTCACAAGCACAGGTGGTAAAACACGGCCAAGCGTTTAATGTCTTCGCCGCGAAACGGGCAGTTCTCTGATCCATGCAGCAAGCCCGGCCTTACCGCAGCTTTATACTTCCTACCTTACACTGGTAGGCTGAAATCCTGCCGTCCCCATAGACGGCTGAGTGGCTGGAAATTCACACGGGCCTTGCTCATACGCGAATTAACTTCCTCAATAATGTGACCACCATAGGTGACACAGCCACCAAGGTGTGAACCGATCCACCACTTCCAGTGGCTATACGAAAATGGTTACAACCGAAGGTGTGTCTGCCTAGTCCTGCAACAGCATTTTGTACTTTGAAGGTACAAAGTAGATGCCGAAGCCTTCTGCGCTACGCACAAACCTGTGCAGTAGTAATTGCATAGCCAATGCATCAAAGCCATGGAGCAGTACGTCAACTGCCTACTACAGGCTTACCAGTTGGGCACTTGGTAGCACTTCCATTCCAGTAGAGCGTGAAATTACCGGGACATTCCTGATTATATCGACCACGAAGGTGCAGAGGAAAGAAGACATGGGACAACTCTGGCGAACCCCCTTGTCGTGGGGAATTCAGCAGATAGTTTCCCATATATCATTATACGGTCTTTGGAATCATAGTGGAGGGACTTCAGAAGAGGAAGGAGTTTAAATGATACGCCCTTCATGGATAGGTAGTGGACAAGTCAAGTAAAACCACCATAGTCGGTCGTCTGTATGTGCGTCACTGTTTTAAAACTTGGGCGAAAATATGTGGTCTATGAAATCACGGCCAGGGCGGAAGCCAGCCCTGGCTTGCAGTGGTTCGGTCTGCATGGGGACCAGGAAGTCGTCGAAGAATGTTACCCGCGGGTTTTGAAGCAATAGAAACAAGGCTAATTCTTCGATTATTTTCACACAAAGTACGCTGACCCTACTTGAAGATGGGCACGACAGTTGACAGTTGTTAATCTGCGGGCACTTTTTAGTGTTGCATGTTAAACAGAGAAGCAAGTCCAGTCAACAAATATTCAACACCATCTTTCAGCAAAGATGGGGGGTCATCGTGTCCTCATTTCTCCTTATTTCGAATATCCTCCAAGGTGAGAGGCGTGAAATCAACTTCCCACGTGGACTCAGGTGATTCGACATGGGCAGTAACGCAGCAGGCCTGCCGAACTGCTCCTCAAAATGTTCCATCCAGCGGGCTAGTTAACGACGCTGAGAATAAAGAAAAAATTCGTCTTTCTCAACTGTCGTCTCGCAAACTGATTACTTCCTCGGACCCGTGTTCTGGATGAGCTGGTATTGCACCCGACTGCGGTGAAGAAGCATCAAGAATGCAACATAAACCTCAGGATGGGGAACCGCAGTTGAGCTAAACCAACTTACACTTAAACTAAGTTTTCTTAAGCTGGATAAATTTTATACCACTTTATTTGGTTTTTCTGACTACGTGAATGATCTTCTATTAACTGGCCACCTCGCTTATGCTAACTGCGCTTAGCTTCGGTAACGTTGTTGCGTCTGTATCATTTTTAAGTAACTTGTGGATATTTTTCATTAGCACGGATTCGTTGCCAACCAACTTACTTCATATGCCAATTTAGCAAAGAGTTATGCCACCGTATCTGTATGCATTATTGAAGGTATTTTATTCCATTTTGTCGTTTCAAGATATTGGCTGTTGTTTGATATCCACGGTGTGGGTGCGCTTGATGTGCATGTTGACAAGGTGTCTACCTGTCTATTACCCACTACCTCGTCCATACTGGCTCCAGGAGACAGTTGGTCGTTGCTAGAGGGGACGGGGTACACGGTCCTTGTGGCCATGTTAAGCTCGAAGAGCGGTTTCAGGCACTAAGTGTAGAGTGGACTACGGTCCAGTCACCGCCTTGTGTGTGCTTGCTTCCCCAAATAGAGCATGCTTGTGTTTGCCTGTGAAGGAGGGTGGGCCGGCTCCGTTGATGCAACGTGGCTCCCATCCGCATGCCTCCCGGTCTTATTGCTTCGGGTTTACACTGGATATGGGGTGTGTGGATGGAGCTGTGAGTGGTGCAGCGCAAGACACCCATGATCCGTCTGTAGGCGCAGGCGTCCTGTGGCTGGCCACAGTGACAGGCAAATCCGAAACCGGATGCCGCCAACCATATGCTTCTTTGAAGCGGGAAGTGTGAGGGCCAAGCCTGCGCGCACTAGAGCATGGTCGAAATCCAGGCATAAGCTCCAATTTGATCGACACTCTTGGACTGATGTGCACCACCTGTGGCTGATGTCGATATCGTCAATTTGGGTCCAGGCTAATGGGGGAATTCGGTGGTAATCAGGTGACGCAATGTGAAAGATTGTGCTGGAAAGCAATGCTGCCACGATAAAGACTGTGGTCGGCGCACAGTTGCATGTATCGATCTGCATTGTCTGTTCGGTGTGCATCTACCCCGAAGCGCCCTCCCAGCTGTTGCGCAGAATTTAAAAGACCACCCACTTGGGCCTTGCCCGTGCGGAGAAGTGATGAAAGATGGCGGTAGAAATGGTCTTTGGTGACTTCCTAACTGCAGTCAGTATGAGCATAAAAGGAGGCGATGAAAAGGCACCTTGTCTTCATACAATGTTTATTAACCCCACTAACGTTTCGACGTCGAACCGAACACATGCCGTTGTTCACCAGTATTCAGGCTAAATTACCTACAACATTTCTGCTGAGGACGATACCAACACCGCAAAAACCTTGAGCCATTCACTCGGTATGACCAGAGACGCAAAGAGCGCAGTCATCGTCGCCAGATTGGGAACCAGGGAGTCGGATTCATCACAACCCTGTTAGCATGCATGCATGCTTTGGGGACACAGCACATATAAATACCGAGGGAGTGAGGGGTGAGAGTCAGTGGTGCCTGTTGACCGATGTGACCCAGAGTGCGGACTTTAACAGAACAAATGTGAAATGAGACTGGTGGTTTGATGGACGAGTTCTGAGTATCGCTGACAGCAGCATCGATGTCAGCGACAGGTACTTGCTTAACAGAAAAGGGAGAACAGTGTTAAGAGAGAAGAGAAAAATAAGAATACAAAGAGGGAGTTTTGTCTACTCGGTCGAGAAGGCATATGATACTCTCCGACTGCCCATTTTGAGACAGGAATTTTGTGCAACGTGCCATGTCTCCAGCGTTTGACTCAACCAGCTGAATCACAAGGCAGTGGGGAATTTGTAGGTTCGCTTGCTAGAGTCCACCCGGAGGCTTGGGCTCAATAGCCTGACTCACAAGGCAGTGGGGCGCTAGTCCAGCTCGGGAGTGTGATTGCAAAGACCCACTGGGATCTGCTTGAGGCCTATCACACACAACCTTTGAAGATTTGCAACAATGCACATGTGTTTTACGAGTGTATTACGTTAGGTACCTGCGACTACGGACAGTCGCAAGTGGGAGTTGGCGGGTTTGCACCCATTTGACCAGGAACCGCCTGGCTTGAGGTGGGCGGTAGCAAACCGCTGAGCACCCGAAGGTGCCATCCTACTGCCAATTGAGCTGTGGGCATACAACCCGTAGACCTGTTGCCTCACATGGCTAGGTTTTAAAGGAAGGGGGTCATCGAACTCGCCCTAACGTCTGAAGAGGATTGAATTTTGTGACTATCTGATTCCTAACCATTGATCTGTCTGGTGTGAGTAGATCTGAAGGCACACCTGGCGTAACTCAATGAGTCATACGGGTACGCAAAACATCACACTACGCTCAGCGTGGTCTAGTCTCGTTGCGATGGCCTATCCGGGAATGGAGTTGATGCAACGCGGCTACGCAGTGGACGGAGCAGCACAGGCTGGAACTGAGACCAGTGTGTCAGCCTGCTGCGGTCCGTCAGCCTCACCAGTCTCGGCGCGCCTCCGCTCGACACCGCTCTGCAGTGATTATGCTCCCCCACCAAGTTGTTCTAATATCACCCCTGTCGCATAAGGGAAGTGCGCTTTCGGTGCGCACCATTAAATAGCGTCAATCTGTACGTACTCGATGTGGCAAAGCAGCGCCACTGAGTGGCGAAGCGGTGAAAACTCAGTGAAAAAGATACGCAGTGGTAGGTGTAGAGGATATGAACAGGAATACAGAAATCTCTCTGAAGTAAGCTGATGGCTAGACTGTCGGTGTATTTATTGTCCCTTTTTGTACGTGGGATATACTTAACTTCGAAGCTCTGATTACTGGCATTGCGGGGAGGGAAATAGCGTAAGCCTGAAGTGTGCTTCATGGATGACGCAACTGAAGAAGGGAACAATAAAGATGATAATTTCATTGGCCATATTGCGTGGATGGTTTTAGCTGGCGGCTATAAGACGCAAAAGGTGGGTGGGAGTCACCGGATTAATCGTGGTAATAGTTAGGGAACCGGTTTGCAAGAACTTATGCGCAAATTCAGAGGCAACACTGCATTCGCCACCTGGTTCTGAATCTTTTAGTTGCATCCTATAATTTTAGTTTTTTATTTTATTTTTATTTATCAATCCCGCTTTAAGCGATGGCTTCGCTTCTTCGCTCTCACCGTTGACATAGTGATGATTTAAACTATTATTCTGGTTTCTAAAGTTGAGGCACTGTGATCCACACGATGGTCGGATGATTGAACTAGTTTGAAGTTGTCATGCGGTATCAGAAATACGCAATGTGTCAAGTAAAAATTGTAAAAGATGGACTTGTGAGATGACAACTAGTTCGCACGTTCTAATGCATCGCAACCCGTAGATAACGATGTTTTAGAAAACAGAATTGAGGTTAACAGTTGATGGCTTTTGTGTGGAAAGGGGGACTCCAGCGTCCAAAAGGTGAACTTCAAAAGCAATGGACCATTTGAGTTCCTTAAGTTGTTGTGGAGTTGCTTGAACGGAATGCTTATCACTTTGGTCTTCTTAGGCTAAGCTAACAGTGAACGGAATCGTCATGACTCATCCCCAGAGTGCAGGCATACTACTGGTTGATGGCGTCGCATTTTTATTGCACATCTGAGTACAATTTTGATAGAGAGGATGCTAGTGTATACAAGGGTAACTTCTTGCTTTTGCCATCTCAGGTTGAAACCATTGGGGATGCGTACATGATCGCCTCCGGATGTCCGGGCCGAACTGAATACCATGCTCCACTGATGGCCGAAATGGCGTTGGAGATGATCAAGTCGATAGAGAAGGTCAAGGATGAGTCAACCGACCCACCGCAAAGTTTGCGGATACGCGTGGGTAAGTTCGAAGGCTTCTAAGTCGCACTATAAAATAGTATTCCGCTACCCAACAGGACAGCAATACCGGAATGGCTGAGATTCCCTAAAAATAGACCATGGTTCTTATTGAGATTGCATCGCATCGCAATCGAAACACAGAGGGGAAACTGAAGTTCTTCGGTTTTACACTGGTTAGAAGAATAGCCTCTGCAGCTCGGTGCTTAAAGCGAGTTATGCGTGAGCAAAAATACTACTGCATCCCGAAATCTTTTAACCATTGCCTGTAGTAGGGGTATGTGTCAACAAGTTGCGAAAGAATAATACTATAAAATTGTTAAAAAACCAATGGAATGTACTCAACCACAAGCCACTTGAAGAAGAATCCAATTCGGATTCGCCTGTTCCCTTTTCAATTCTGCAACGGTATCTAAGTAAACAAGAAGGTGAGCCATACTTTCGGAAGATTTTAGAATGCAAATTGGTTATTCGACAGGCTTGTACTGAGTGGATACGTTTCGCCCTTGACACAAGAGCTTCTTCAGGCTAGGTGAACTAGTACATGATTGTGTTGGCTTTTCATAATCAGATTGGTTTTAATAATCCGATTCCAGCAACCTGGGGAGTCGAATCTCTCAACTGCAAAGTGCATTGCATTGAAAGCGTTAAAGGAAGACCATACCATTATCATTTAAAAAAACCGGTAAAGGTAATATCATAGTGATATTAAATGAGTCAAACTATACCCTGCAGGGAGATCAAGAAAAAGATTTTATCGTCGGTAATGAATAGGAATAAAACAGTCAGCAGCTACCTGACGAGTATGAAAGACTGCCTAGGACCGGGTAAATGATACGACACATGCCCCAACTAAACCCTCTCGTCGAGAATCTATGGGCCGACGTTCCTATTGGCACATTGTGGCTGGTATCGGTTTCCGACCCACGAACTAGCCAGATATTTGGCTGATTTGTTGAAGCTCCTAACGGGAAAAGCAAATACGTTCATAAAGAAACGAGTTCCTGAGAAAGGTGGTATGTTTCATGGTGGAGTCAAATAAAATAATGGTCCGCTTCGACGTTGAGCCCCTATTCACTAAATTGCCCAGGGATGATGCATGGGGGATAGCACTACGCTATCTGTTGAGGACAGTAGCCTGGTGGAAAGAACGAAGCAAAGCGTGGACCAAATAATGGAGGAAATGGAAGTATGTCTTAGTATGTCATATTTGACGTTCCAATCGAGGCTGTACACTCAAGTGAAGGGCCTTGCCATGGGGTCGCGAAAATCGCTCGTATTGAAAGAATTTGAAGGAAGAGCGTTGACAAACTTCTCTAGCTCATCAAAGCCGACGCTGTGTAGATGACACTTTCTCCATATTAAGCGGGATAACAAGAGTTTGAAAGCTATTTGAACTCCATTAATGAGGATATAAATTGTACCATGGAATTAGAATTAGAACTTGCAGTGGTACGTTGTCATTCCTTGACTGCCTAGTTCACAGGAAGAAAGGAGGACTAAAAATAACGAGAAATTGACAACCAACATAGACAGACGGAGCATTACACTATAGTTCAAGTGACAGTTGGACGAGAAAGCTGAGAGCCGACGCTCGCGCGTTTACCACCAAGCGTGCTTGGGAAGGACTCTACGAGCATGTTACCAGGGCCCAGCCGAAATCTGATCAGACACCAGGCGTGTTGCCAAGGCCAGACCGGAAGCTGATGAAATCACGCGTCAGACATCACGTGCGTTGCCATGCCCCGGGTAGGCGAACGAAGACTGTAGTACCCGAGCAACACGGTGAGTCGGACAGATGCAGCGGACAAGTAGGTGTGCAGCGTGGGCTTAGAGCCAAATCCGCCTGGTGATAGTGACATATAAATATGACCGTTCTTTGCCTTAATACAACTCTGGTCTGCTGAGTAGTCTTCTGTCTTCGTTCCGGTCGGGTTTGCCAAGGCGAAAATCAGAGCACGCGTGAAGGCGCAGATTTAGCAACAGGCGTGAATCAACCAGGCGAGAGCGAGCAGGCCGCGCAGCGTTACAACAGTGGCGACGCGAGTACAACCGAACCCAAGCATGGCAATTAGCTTTGAACAATTGCAGATGCTGTTGCAGCAACAACAGGCACAGTTTGAAGCATCCCAAACCAAACTGATCGAGATGTTAACTCAGAAGATGACAGTGCAGTCAAGCCCAGGGTTAGCGACAATTGAAGGTGCCCCGTCACCAGAAACCCTGACTCAGCAGATCAGTGAGTTCCATTATGACGCTGATGCTGGCATAACATTTGTTTCGTGGTTCCACAAGTATGAAGATATGTTCCGGGTTGATTTTGCCAACCTTACAGCAGAAAAGAAGATTCGACTAATGCTGCGGAAGCTGGGTGCTGCCGAACACGAGAAGTTCACCAATTTTATCTTACCCAAAAAGAGTACCGATTTGTCCTTCGACGAAGTGGTTGCAGTCCTGTCGCAGATTTTCGGAGAACAGACTTCTTTGTTCAACATCCGGTACAAGTGTCTGACAATAACCAAAAAAGAAGACGAAGACTGGGTCGACTATTCCAGCCGGGTGAATTGAGAGTGCGAACGGTCACAACTGCACAAGATGACAAGTGATCAGTTTAAATGCCTCATATACGTCTGTGGCCTACAAGCATCCAAAGACGCCGACATTCGAACACGAATCCTGAACAAAATTGAGCAGAATCCGGATGTCACGTTGCAGCAAGTGACCAGTGAGTGCCAACGCATGACGAATCTGAAACACGATACTGCAATGATCCAGCAGTTGTCCAAGCAGAGCGAGCAAGATTTTGTCTGTGCAGTCAGCCGTACTCCCCGAAAAGAAGCTTCCCACGTGAGTTCAACGCATTCTAAACCTCCCACTGCATGCTGGTTTTGTAGAGAGTGGCATTTTGTCCGCGAGTGTCCATTCAAAACTCACACTTGCAACCGTTGCGGCAGAAAAGGGCATAAGGAGTCGTGTTGCCTGGCGACTCGTCCAATTCTGACCAAGAAGATGCGTAACAATGCCAAACCGTTCCGGCGTCCCAATTTGACCAGATCTATCACCGCAACATTCAAGGTTGACGGGGCCAGCAAGCGCAAATACACAATTGTGAAAATCAACGGCTTCCAAGTCAAGTTACAAATTGACACGGCTTCTGATATCACCCTGATATCTCGAGACACTTGGTGCATGCTGGGGCGACCATGGTTGGCGGCATCCGGTTTCGGATTTGCCTGTCACTGTGGCAAGCCACAGGACGCCTGCGCCTACAGAGGGACCATGGATGGCTTGCGCTGCACCACCCACAGCTCCAACCACATACCCCATATCCAGTGTAAACCCGAAGGAATAAGACCGGGAGGCATGCGGATGGGAACCACGTTTCATCAACGGAGCCGGCCCACACTCCTTCACAGGCAAACACAAGCACGCTGTATTTGGGGAATCAAGCGCACACAAGGCGGTGGCTGGACCGTAGTCCGCTCCACACTGAGTGCATGGAACCGCTCTTTGAGCCTAGCACGGCCACAAGAACCGTGCACCCCGTCCCCTCCAGCAACGACCAACTGTCTCCTGGAGCCAGTATGAACGATGTAGTGGGTAATAGACAGGTAGGCACCTTGTCAACATACACATCAAGCGCAACCATACCAGGGATATCAAACAACAGCCATTCACTTTAAACGACAAGCTGAAATAAAATAAATCCAATAATGCATACAGATACGGTGGCATAACTCTTCGCTAAATTACCATATGAAGTAATGTGGTTAGCAACAAATCCGTGATAAGTAAGAAATGTCCACAAGTTACTTAAAATGCTACAAACGAAACAAAATTACCGAAGATAAGCGCAATTAGTGTAAGCAACGTGGCCAGTTAATAGAACATTATTCAGGGAGGCAGAACAAACCAAATAAAGCGGAATGAAATTTATCCAGCTTAAAAAGACCTAGTTTAAGTGCAAGTTGGTTTAGCCCAACTGCGGTGAAGAAGCATCAAGAATGCAACATCAGCCTCAGCATGGGGCACACGTACATACATGGTTGGCGGCATCCGGTTTCGGATTTGCCTGTCACTGTGGCAAGCCACAGGACGCCTGCGCCTACAGAGGGACCATGGATGGCTTGCGCTGCACCACCCACAGCTCCAACCACACACCCCATATCCAGTGTAAACCCGAAGGAATAAGACCGGGAGGCATGCGGATGGGAACCACGTTTCATCAACGGAGCCGGCCCACACTCCTTCACAGGCAAACACAAGCACGCTGTATTTGGGGAATCAAGCGCACACAAGGCGGTGGCTGGACCGTAGTCCGCTCCACACTGAGTGCATGGAACCGCTCTTTGAGCCTAGCACGGCCACAAGAACCGTGCACCCCGTCCCCTCCAGCAACGACCAACTGTCTCCTGGAGCCAGTATGAACGATGTAGTGGGTAATAGACAGATAGGCACCTTGTCAACATACACATCAAGCGCAACCATACCAGGGATATCAAACAACAGCCATTCACTTTAAACGACAAGCTGAAATAAAATAAATCCAATAATGCATACAGATACGGTGGCATAACTCTTCGCTAAATTACCATATGAAGTAATGTGGTTAGCAACAAATCCGTGATAAGTAAGAAATGTCCACAAGTTACTTAAAATGCTACGAACGAAACAAAATTACCGAAGATAAGCGCAATTAGTGTCAGCAACGTGGCCAGTTAATAGAACATTATTCAGGGAGGCAGAACAAACCAAATAAAGCGGAATGAAATTTATCCAGCTTAAAAAGACCTAGTTTAAGTGCAAGTTGGTTTAGCCCAACTGCGGTGAAGAAGCATCAGGAATGCAACATCAGCCTCAGCATGGGGCACACTCATACAAACGGACCACACGGCACGGAATGCTTCAGGAGGTACGTTGAAATTGCTGGGTGAACTGAATTGTCAGGTAAACGTTCGCGATAAACAAATCCAGACGACATGTTTCGTGACAGACCAGCCGGGG